CTCCTAGAGGCTTCTTAAGCGTCGTCTCGGAGGTCTCTTCGAGTCTACTTCGGATCCTCTGAGTCCCTCTCACGGAGGAGGAAGCAGGAACGAGGAAGGATGAGTAGGAGTAGGAGTCAAGCTAGCCAGGCCGAACGAGTCAGAGGGCCCCGCCTACTCCCACACCCCCTCCCGCATCATACAATCACCTGTGACACAACTTGCTATTGGGATGGGAACGCGTTTCAACCTCGCAAACGGAAACCGCTTGTGCGCGGCCCGCTTCCAACGACCTGACAACGGGACAACTACGCGGTCCGCGCAAGGGCGGGAACCACAATTTCCGATGGGCGCGGCGAAAACGAAGCATGCGCCGCGCCAACATAGCACTGCCACTTTCACTCGCAAGCTGTGCGGCGCTTGGGCGAGGTCGACATTTCGCCGCGCGTCCCCACTGCCGCTGACGCTGTCATGCGATTCGGTGAACGGACCATTCGCCGCGCCCGCACTGGAACGCCTGTTCCGAGCGAGCTGCGCACGGAGCTTGGGCGAGGGCGGCGAGTCTGTCAGGCCACCCCCCAAAACATTGGCGAGTGAAACGTGTGCGTCGCGTCGAGGCGGGCGACCTTCGCGCGTCGCTGAGGCGATGGCTATATTTTCGTACGCTGCGCGTCGACGAAGTTCCGTGCGTAACATGTGCGCCGCGCCCAAGCGGGAGCTCACCTCTGTGGAAAAATGGAAGCCCCGCCGAGGCGAGAACGACATGTCGGACTGTCGTGCAAGATGTGCGCCTGTCCAATTCATGCCACGCTTTTTGCAACATGGACGGCGCAGTGTCCATGTTGAGACGAACAACACTGTTCGTTTTGGTTGCTTGTTTTTTGAGATAAGGTCGGATGCCCCCCCCCGATAGGGTTGCCATCGGCCTGCTGGGTGGCAGGGGCAGGCTATTTAATCGCTTCGCTCATTCCGCTGGCCCATGTAGCCTCATCTCTGCCGTTTGCCCGAGGGATCGTTGTCAATGCGGCGCTGCTAAGGTCTCTTGGCAGTCGTTTCGGGAGTCTCTTGGAGGCAGTTTTGAAGCCTCTTGTGGTCTCTTTGGGGCCGTTTGGGGGCCCTGGGGTTTCTTGGGGGTTTCTTGGGGGTTTGTTGGTGGTTTGGGAGTTGTACTTTAGGGCGGAAAGCTTGAAATGCCTTCGTGGGGTTGTGCTGGGCGTGGATGCTCACTCTGGAGTTTTTCGATGGGGGGGAGGGGACATCTGATGTGATGATGGTACCCTTGTCTCCGAGGGTGGCGGGCTTTGAATGTGATCATTGGCTTTTTCTTGTCCTGGCGTGCGCTGTCTACTTCCTGAGGCTCGTCACTTCTTACTTTCTCCCACTTCTCGCAGTGTGTTCCCGGGCGCGGGTGTGGGGGTCGGCTAGTGGATGGAGAGCGTGAGCGGAAGAGACATATAGTAGGAGGAGGTGGAGGTGGAGAAGGAGTAGTGTGCAGTGAGGTGGAGCGTAGAGGAGGGAGGCGGCGGAGGAGGTGGCGGGGAAGGGTGGGGAAAGGAAATGGTATGACAGCGGAGGCCACGAAGTGAGGAAGGAGGAAGGCTTCGTGGGGCTGCGTGATTGTGTGGGTCTGAGGCCACTCGGATGGCTGATGGGGTCTCGTGGAGGCTTCTCGGGAGCGCCTGGAGCGCTGTTTTTGGGCCTCTTGGGGGCCTCCAGGGGTGGCTCGGATTTTCGCATCGCGTTCCCCCTCTTGGGCGCCCCTTGGGCCGTCTTGGGGGCCCCTTTGGCCGTTTTGGGCGCCTCCTGGTCCCCTCCTGGGGCTGTCTTGGGCTGTCCTGGGCGCCTCTTGGGCCGTCTTGGGGCCCTCTTCGGTTGTGTTCGGCCCATCTTGGGGCCTGTTGGGCCGTCTTGGGGCGATCCTGGGGGTCTCTTGGGCAGCAGTGGACGCTCGGAACCCCCAAGAGTCGCAAATGCGAGACATGTACGTATTCGTAAGGAAATGAGACGATTTTTGGTAGTTGAAACTCTCTTGGACGGCCTCTGGAGGCTCTCTTGGGGCTTCTTGGCGGCGGCTTGGGCCGTCTGGAGGCCATCTTGGGTGTCTTGGAACGATCTTGCGGCGACCCAGGGCCTTTCGGACGGTTTCGGGCGCGTCTCGGGGCTCTCTTGGGGCGTTCCTGGGGCGCTCTGGAAAGCCTGGAAGGCAGCGCCGAGGAGGAACACCATCTCTGGGACCCACTTGGCCGGGACCTGCTCGGGGTACTTTTCGTCCGGGGCCCCCGGGGGCCGCCCCGCGCGCGCGAACGAGACGACTATTAACCAGTTACTGGAGATCTTAGCACGCCTCTGGCCCGTTGGGTCAGCGAATAAACGAATAGCGAATACGGATAGGAGGAGGAACAAAAAGCAAGAGGAGGAAGAAGAGGAAGAAGAGGATGAAGAGGAGGAGAAGGAGGAGGAGGAGGATGAGGAGGAGGAGGAGGAGGGGAGGGATGATGATGATGATGATGATGATGATGAT